GCCCTCGCGGTTCTATTGGTAACGACACTGCACTGTCATACACAGACTACGATAGAACAGCCGAACGACGACTGACTCCTCCACTCGCAAGCCACCAGCAACGTTGCCACATCACTCCCGAGTTTCAATCGGACAAGTCTTCGGCCACCGACGTACAGGTACGACGATCACTGCGTTCTTGGTGCTGGCGCGCGACCGACTGTTCCATTCGATTTGTTCTCTCCTCTTCTTTCTACCTCGCGATTCTTCCTCGATACACAGTTGTCGTTGCTCTCGTTGTTGTTTGTTCTGTTCTCTCCTGTCCTGTCCTGTCTTGCTCGTCTTGTTCCGTTCCTTTCTATCCTCTGTACACGTCGAAATCGTATCCGCTGAATCAAGTCGTTTTTCGCCTTGCCACGACTTGTCACCGATTCTCCAAGCCTTTTACAGTGCCTTCACTCTTACATGGTTCTCTCGAACACGGCGTGTTGTGTCGCGACGACGAGGGTCACACTCGGCAACTGATCGCTGGCTATTGTCGCTACTATCGACTGCGGATTCGGTCGGTGCATCGAAATCCACAGAAACACTGTGATCCGAACGAGCACACAGCACCGAACTAACTGACCACATCTGCTGCCGATTTGCTGGCAGCTCTGTTAACTACAGCGCACGGCCGGCCAGTCTGCCTCTGCCTCTGCCAGCCAGTATGCTCCCTCGCTTTCTTACTCTCACCTACCAGCAGCCTGCCAGCCTTCTCGAATCAGCCGAGCCTACCTCTCTCGTGTATTCTCCTTCCCTTCCCTATCCCCTGCTCAACCGCTTTCCTTCTCCTTTCCTCTTGCCCTCCTCACTACTCGCCTCTCATTCACTCGCTCGCTTGCTTTCTCCATCCTTTTTCCACCGTCGATTCTCGCTTCCACCTACCACCTTCCTATCCCCCTCTTCGTTCAATTCTTCGTCTCTCGCTCTCCATCGAATGAATGGTTTTAGTTCGGGAGGGCGTCCGTACCGGAAACAACCGATTGCATCCGGAAATCACCGAGCCTGTACTTCCCGCATTAGAGCGCTTCTTGAATAAAATTCTATTCTTTCCTCCTTTCTTTCCTCACCGTTTGATATCTTCACCGCGTAACTTCCTTCCGAATTCGTCATTCTCACACGTACGTATCCGGGGAAAAACAGTTGATAATATAACTCGTTTATCGACCGTTTCCCTTACAGCGAAATCGTCTATGACACTACCGCGACTCACCTTTCTCCGTATGGGATGTAATCCGTTGTACAGGATCGCGTTCCACGAACCTTTTCGTGTAACTTTTCGTGCGTGAAATTGTAATACGTTTTGACGCGTGCGTTTCGTTTCTAATGCACGCGCTTCTGCGCGTGTTTTCCTTCGTCGCTTCCTCTCTTTTCCACATTCCCTTCCTTCGTTCGATCGACACCGCTTCTCTTCACGGAGTGTCCCGTAACGGTAGTTAAATTGTGTATCAGTCGCTCGTATGAACGCATTTGCATCATTGTACTATTTATGCAAATACTCTTTCTATTACAATGGAGTCACACATTTTAACTTATCGTGTCCCAATTTTCTCGTAAAGTCTACAACCATAGTTCTACTTTCTACGAAAGTCCTATTCGAATTTCAATTTTATAAAATTTTAACTTTTTGAGCGGCTAAAAAAAATAATCTTTATGGACAATAATAATATGCATTTATTACAAAATGGTTATCGCGTGACTTTTTCGTATAGAAATTTTGCGTCTGCAGAGCACGCGTGCAGAAGTACAAAAATCGTGAACGGATTACATGTTCCATATTTCGTGTAACTGGAGCAGTATTTTAGGCCGAAAATTGGCGCCGATTAAAAGAACTGCAGCGTCTGGTGAACTAAATTATGCAAGAAAAATATACCGAACCTCTTCAGCAAGATACGTCAGTGAAGGAAATGCTGCCGCTACGATTGCCATTCTGTTCGCATTTTTTAAACATTTCTTTAAGATCCGCTCGAGCATGGAATGTTGAAAGCAGGCGTAATTCGTGGATACAGTTATGACGGATCAAATTAAACATCTTGATCTAACTTCTTTCCTGTTTGGTCGTACAACTTTCTGTGAAGAAAGTTTCTTTTGCAATTAAGTATATTTTATAGTACAACGAATCAAATAATAAAGAAAATAGTAATAATACAATTTATTAGTAACGAATGGTGATCATCATGAAATATGTACAACTTTCTATGTTTGACGACAAACTAACGTTTATTTACATAGAAGGATGATATCGTTTCCTGTTTTATCTGCCCTTCTCATCAGATTTCTCAGTTGGTTGTATTAATTTTAATGTAGCTATGCAAATCTCGCATTCCATTGTGCAAGCTAGTATATAAGATAATAAAATACGCCAATTCATAAAGTTCAAAGGGACACATTGAACGATAATCAGAATTATGTTTTAATATATGTATTGTGTGTATATGAAGCGACATCTAACAACGATATGTGCACAACTGCGACAAGAGAGTTCAGCCATTAGACGCGATGTGGCGCTTTCTTCTTCTTTTAATCCATAATACGTAATAGACAAATTTTCAGGGAAAAGAATTAATGTATATATATAATGTACTCCTAATTACAAAAAACATTCTTCTATAGCTTCGAATATGCCTAATTGCTTATTGTATTCTAACAATAAAAAATGATTATTAAAACTCTTAGTTGCTTGAAATTCAACAGCCTTGTCTTATAATTTCTATGACATCATTTTGTAAAATTTAATTGAATAATAAATTTGTAAGGAAGTAGATTGTCGGTTTTATTTCTATTTCAGAATTTTTAAACAAATCTTTATACCATAAGATTAAACCTCCACTTTCCAAACGTTATGGAGAGAAAAATGGAAACGATGAGAAACAATAGGCCGCAGGGGCAGGTTCTTTGAGATTGCGTTCGCATAAACGACATCTGAAATATATTTAAAAATAGTGCGAGACTATTGAAGCATTTCGCCCCAGCTGGCCTCTCGCCTCAGTCAGGGAACATCTGCGGAGCAATCTCGATCCTTGCGTCATTATTCTTTGTGACCGCGCACCATCGATTCACAGGTTTCCTCAACCATGGAAATTAATCAACCTTAGACCATGATCAGAACTGATAGATAATGGGAAAACGTGACGTTCGTCGTGGCAAGATTCACCGATCGAGAAACTCGATTCTATCATCTGCTCTGTTTTCTTTTTTTTTTCTTCATTCTCATCTTCCTTCTCTTCTTCATTTCTTTCTTTCTTTCTTTTTTCCTTCTTTTGGATCGGCGATTCAATCGAAGAATTGTTCGATGAAGCGATTTGTCGGCACGCGGTTAAAGGGAACTTTATCGTTCAGCGGTCGCGAAAATAGCGAGACGGGAATGTTCGCCGATCGAATTTCGCTAGTCCAGGTGCTGAGGAACGGGGTAGTGTATGCACGCGATACAATCAATTATCGATTAGGAAACTGCAGTTTTTAGCGTAAACGATTCCTGATTGCGAGCTTTTCCTACATAAATGTTACTGAACGAAGCAACTGTTACGTGTACGTTGAATCAATAATATGCATATCGATCATTTATTCTCTATTCTCCTATTTTAAAAACGGTTCACGCGCACGGAAACCAAACCAACGAATGTACTCGGTGCTTTTAATGCACCGTTGATTCTATCATTTCGTAATTATAAGCTGTTTTATACATCAAATAACTTTGTACATTTGCCTTGAATTTATTGGGTTGGCAACTAAGTGATTGCGGATTTTGTCAATACCACCTAATGGCAGAAACCGCAATCACTTAGTTGCTAACCTAACATTTATCCTTTCAATGCAGTCTTTGACGTAGACTATTGTACACTAAAACGTTCTATAATTTTATTTACTTATTTAAGTACCATTTATTCAATTATAATTTTTGAATTTCCATCGGTAGGTTTATTCGAATCACAAGTAAAAATGCATTCCTCGGAATCATTTTTGAAGAAATATTTGGTCCTAAATATCTCAAAAATCACCTAATTCCTACATCTTCTAATTCATCATTTTCCCCGTTTATTAAGTAGCAATAAGTTTCAAAATCGGATTTCTCCAATAATCGTACCGAAAGAAATATTAGGTTGGCAACTAAGTGATTGCGGCTTTTGTCATTACCACCTAATGATAAAATCCGCAATTACTTAGTTGCCAACCTAATACATCTCCCAAATATTCTCCAGGAATTTAAGTAAAAAAGAGAATATTGTTAAATAACCCAACTGTCGAGTAGCATTCAACGTCATGCATCGATCGCCAATGTTCAGGTTAGTAATCCTTGGCAGTCGTCAACTTGAGCGATAAATCGATGACTAAGGTGGAAGAAACGAGTGTCAGGATATGACATCGTGCTTCCACGTAACGAAAGTGAATTTACGGAAAACAAGGACCACAGTTTGATAGTCGACGGTGTAATATTCATAAGCGGGTGTCGTAGAGAGCGAGCGC